GCTGCAGGTCTTATTAAGCATTGCCCTGGAGCCCGGTGAGTTGTGGGGGTGGGGGGTGGGGGGTGGGACCAGGGGACCGTCTTGGCCAGGGGTCCTTGCAACCAGAACTGAACCCCTTGGTGCCCCGTGTGCTAGCCTTAATCCATCATCCTGCTGGGAGGCCACAGTTGCGGGTCCTGTGGCAGGACCTGTGGCCAGGGTCATGCCACTCACAAGCTAGTGAGAGGCTGGGAGCGTAGCGGTTGGGAGCTGACTCAGAACCACCCTGTCTGGGTTCAAGTCCCAGTCTTTCTAGTTACAGCAGTCAGCTGGGCACTGTGTGCCTCAGTTTCCCATCTATACGGCAGGGATGGCATCAGTGCCTACTTCAGAGTTAACACCTCTCAAAGCGCTCACAACGGCCAGCTCCCAGGATGTGCTGAGTTTTGAGGGTTTTTTTTCCCCCTCATATAGTCAGAGCTCATGCCCGGAACCCTGGTGAGATCCGAATCAGAACCTGCGAGCACCTGCTGCAGTGCTTTGGGGTACACAAGGACAGTGCCTGGGCTGGGGTGGTGTGGGTTGGGGCTCTGCTCCCCTTCTAGGGACACTCAGCTTAACCGATGCCCTCTTCCCCAGCACGGGCGAAGCCTGGCCCTGCCCCACTTCCAGCAGCTCTGGGGCCGCCTGCTGGAGTGGCAGGTAAGGTGAGGCTGGGTGCGGCTGCCTCCTTCTGGAGGAGGGGCACCTCTACTAATAGGCTAGCGGGCCCCAGAGGACAAGCAGGGACTGGACCACCCCACGCTGATGTGGGGGGACCAGGCTATGACGTCCCTGCCCTGCCACCTCTCTGGCCCCTCTATGGGACTCAAGCACGGGCCCTGGCCTTGGAGTTACTGTCTTACAGATTGGGAAGCAGAGGCCCATAGTGGCTAAACGGCTTGCCCAGGATTCACAGACGGGAAGAAGGGAGCTGGGATAGGAGCACAGGCAGCCTGGCTTCCAAGGGCCCTTTTTCAGCTCTCCTCAGGGTGCTCAGTTACTGCTCAAAGGCCTCGGGGTGGCACTGACCCCTGCCTCCCTGCCCAGGCCACATTTGACAAGTTTGACGAGGACGCCTCGGGAACCACGAACTCCTATGAGCTGCGGCTGGCGCTGAACGCGGCAGGTGTGGACAGATCCCTGCGGGGTGGGTGCTGGGATGGGCCCTGCTCCCCCTCCGCCCCGTCCTCAGCCCCGCTGCCCACTCGGCTGTGGCCATAAGACCACACCTTAGCTGCCGTCAGTGACCGGCAGGGACTGTGACTCTGACAGGCCAAATGGCAGGGCCCCTCAGTGTGGGGGCCAGGGCATGAGGAACTAGGAGGGACACCTGCCCAACTCAGTCATTCTTTGTTCCACAACGTCTCCTGAGCATCTGCTCTGCTCTCTGCAAGTGCTGGGGGGTCAGTGGTGACCAGAAGCCCTTCTCTGACCTCACAGGGGCCAACAGCCACCAACTGGCAGTGACAGCCCCACAGGGGTCAGGCATATAGAGGAGGGGCCTGGTGCTTTGTGCTGGGGGGTGTCCAAGAGGGCTTCCTGGAGGAGGCGTGTATGATGAGTAGGGGTGCTCTGAGCCAGGAGGACAAGAGTGCTCTGGGCAGAGGGGATGTCATGTGCAGAGGCGGTGAGACAAAGTGGAAGGACTGAGTGGAGAGATGGGGGAGGGGGAGATGAGGGGCAGGTCTGCAGGGGCCACCAGGCAGCTGGGGGCATTGGGGGACCCTGCGGAGGGTGAACTACGAGGGCCTGGTAACCTCAGTGAGGCGTCTTATGAGCACAGGGGACCCCAGGCCGGATCCCCACACCTGGCAGCACAGAGCACATGTGTCTCGAGTGTGCTGTTTCTCTGAAAGTAAATGGGAGCCCCGGAGGAGCAGCTGAGGCCTTCCACCCGGTCTGGCCAGGTTCCCCCACAGCCCTGGGCACAGCACCCCCACCCCTGTACCCAAGGGCAGGTGAAGGCCAGAGGGTGACTCGTGGTAGGATACACAGCCAGGGTTAGGCCACAGGCCCCCGGCCTCCTCAAGACTGCTAAATGGCTCCCAGGACAGGGCGCAGCGGGAATGGCACTCGATGTCGCTGTTGTTGGGTGCCCTCGCGCCCACTCCGACTCCCAGCGACCCCATGGTACTGAATAGAACTGTCCCATAGAGCTTTCTAGGCTGTACTCTTTATGGGAGCACATTACCAGGTCTTTCTTCCACATTGCCGCTGGGTGGGTTCAAACTGCCAACCTTTTGGTTAGCAGCTAAGCGCTTAACCGTTGCACCACCAGGGCTCCTTAAGGGCCCTCAATAAGTGTTTGTTAAATGGTGAATGGATGCACAGAATAGGGTGCAAAGGCGGGCTTTGGGAGGCAGCGGAAGCTCAGGAAATTATTCCGAGAACTATTTATCTGGGTGTGTGGGGGCAGAGAAGGAGAGTGCCAAAGGTCACCTGGGACCTGCAAGGTGTCAAGAACCACCTTATGAGGCTTTTAAGTACCTCTGTTGAGATTCTGGATGAGGCCAGTGGCACAGTGGTTAAAGCACTCGGCTGCTAACTGCAAGGTCAGTGGTTCAAACCCACCACGCTGCTCCAAGGGAGAAAGATGTGGCAGTCTGCTTCTGTTGAGATTTACAGCCTTGGAAACCCTATGGGGGAGTTCTACTCTGTCCTGTAGGGTTGCTGCGAGTCGGAATCGACTTGATGGCAGTGGGTTTGGTTTTTTGGTGGGTACTGAGATTCCACATCAGAGACGATGAAATAAAGAGAAAGGGATTCCATGGGGGCTGCCCGGAAACCGTCCCCAGTGTCCACAGGCAAGGAGGAAGTTGTGCAGGATTGAAAGGGATGATGCTGGCATGTGCAGCCCTTGTGTGCCCGGCATGGTTCTGCGTTCTGAGTTTTCGTACAACTCTGTGGGGTCAGGGCTGTCATAATCCCCACTTTATGGGTGAGGACACTGAGGCCCAGGAGTGAGGGGCTTGTTTGTGGTCACATGGCTGAGCTGGGACAGAGCTGGGATTTGAACCCAGGGACAGGTACCCACGAGGGGGGAACAGGCCCCTGTGCTGTCTCAGCTTTTCTTGGGGAGTGAGGGTGGGGGTGCAAGGCTGAGGTGGGGCTCAGAGGTGGACCTCCCCCCAGGCTTCCATCTGAACAACCAGCTGACCCAGGTCCTCACAAGCCGCTACCGGGACAGCCGTCTGCGTGTGGACTTCGAGCACTTTGTGTCCTGCATGGCCCAGCTCACCTGCATCTTCCGTGAGCACCCCCCCAGGTGCGGTGGGGTGGGGACCGGCGGTGGCGGGGTGGAGCTGACTCTGCCTGTCTGCACAGGCCACTGTAGCCAGCACCTGGATGGTGGTGAGGGGGTCATCTGCCTGACCCACAGACAGGTGAGCCAGGGCTGCGGAAGCGGGGCTCTGGGCGGCTGGGGTGGGGAGACCTGCCTCCAGCCCGCTGTCCTCTCTCACCCAGTGGATGGAGGTGGCCGCCTTCTCCTAGGATCTCAGGAGCGAGCGCCTGCTGCTGGGGGCCCACCTTCCCCTCACCCCAGCCCTGGGCCGGGCTTACTCCACAGGGGAAGGTCGGCAGCCCAGTGAAACCACCCCTCTGACTCCTCATCACCCTGCCTGGTCCCGGGGTCTCAAGCTCAGATGTCAAGTGGTTCAGAGCTGGGACTCGCGGCTGGGTGACCCTGTCCCTCCCCGTGCCTCGCTCTCCTTGCTGGTACCGGGATGAGGGCAGCAGGGCCTTCCCCCTGCAGACCACACCAGTCATTCCATGCTGAGTGCCGAGCCCCCAGCCTGGTCTCCAGCAGCACCCTGTTATCACTCAGGGCAGGGGTAGGGACTCCCACACCCCGCCTCCCTGCCCCACGCCCCGCCTCCCCGAGAAGAGGAGGAGACGGGAGAGAGAGAGGACACTTTAGGAACCCTTCTTAAAAATATTACATGTTTTATTATCCTGTCCCCAGAAGGGTGGTTTATCCAGAAACCAAGAAGAAAAAAAAAAAAAAAAAA